TAAATTTTGACCTCAATTTAAATAAAAACGATATTAGATATTGATACAAAATTAGTTTTATTAGATTTATTATATCATCCATTTTCAAAATATTTTTTATATACTTAATATATAATATATATTTTATTTATTTCTAAGTCAAATATTGAAAACAATTAGTCGGAAAAGTCAAAACTGGACAAATACTCAGGGACGGAGGTAGTAATTAAAAAATAGGATTCTTCTCATCCATAATCCTTATCTACCCCCCCAATGATTATAAAAAGTTATTATTCATTCTTGCATTATTAAAAAACAAAATCTAATATTAGTGATAATAAATCTCTATGATTAAAAATTTAATTTTAAAATATTAAGAATCAATTATTCTTCTCACCCACATTTATTTTAAAAAATATTAAAATCTTAGTGCTCTAATAATTTTGTCGGGATAATATTCTGGTCAAGATATAAAATGTTCTATCAAAATACAAATAGTTACAAATGAGAAATTGTATTTTCTTTGATGTGGTTGTAACATGTAACTAAGTCTCGAACTTATTAGCTACTGCACTTTGGATTTTCTGCACAATTTTTCCTAATTTTTTGATTATCCTAAATCTTCATTGTCACAAATCTTCTCACGCTCCCCTCCACACCTTGATCTTCTTTGTCACAATCTTCTTTGCATAAATCTGTGACGTCTCATAAAATATCATCTTATGAAGTTTCCATGTACGGTTGCGTAAATGAAAACGTAGAAAGTAAGTTCTCTCTCATTCAAAATTTCTTAATTTTATTTATAAACATTTTGAATTCTAACACAATAATAATATAAGTATGTACTGAGTAAATTGTAAGTTACAATATAAGATTATTTTAATTAAAAATAGTAAACCAAGTTACCGAGATAAAGTTTAAAAGTCCTATTAAATCTTTTTTTAATTTGTTAATTTTAAAAATTCAATATTTTAAAATAGTCAAATTGCATGGAAATACTTTTATTTCATATTACAATTAGTCATCTTGCCATAAACAAAACTTTTATGTAAGATATGCATTAAGTCAATCTCATAGTAGACAGATTATACATTTGTCTAAAAATAAAGTACATAATCATGACACGTATAATTATTCCTTAAAAAAATATAGTCTTAAGTCTTTTAGTCACCTAATTATAAATTATAAATTTCTTTGTGTAATCTCGAAATAGTCTCTTCGAATAATGTATTTTCCAAATCAGTGTTTTTAAGCATTAATTATCTATGAAGTATTTTATAATTGAAATTTATTCACTCAGTGTCTTCCGTATATGTTTCTTAAATGAATGTTCAATGGGGAAAATTTAGGTATTTTCAACATTTAAATGAAGAGTAATTTTTCAAAATGACCCTTTTGGATTAGCCTTTTGCTAATTTAGGTCTCCGTAATAATAATTATAATTTTACCTCAATTGTACATTTAGGGGCATCTTAATGTGTTGTGTCCTTCTATTAGCCACTCATGTTTAAGCTAGTAAATTTCAAATTTTAAATGAAAAATATGTGATTCCCTTTTATTTGCAAATATTGTTTTGTTGTTTATATCCCATGCAAATATTTTTTTGTGTTTTTCTAAAAAGTGCTTGTTGTGACTTCAATGAAGTCAAAAGTGAAATACCTATGATTATTTTTAAATGTTTTTGTAATTTTTCTTTGTGAAAACCCTTGTAACTATATTTGTTTTGCTCTTTGAAACTAAATTCATATCAAGTGAAAAAATTTTGGTATGTAAAATATATGTGATTATTTTTATTTGATAATTTTTTAAAATTTTATGTGAAAAATGTAACTATTATTATAGAAGTTGATTTTAAAAATTTATACTATTATTTTAATTATTTTAGAAGTTGATGTTTTAATTTTTTAGAAAGAATTTTTGTTCTCACTCAATTGCATAAAACTTCATGTATTGTTCTAATTTCTTTAACAATACTCCCTTTGTGTTTGGATTTGATCTTCTCAATTGACTTTTCTTGTCAATTTTGTATACTTAAACACCAATATACAGAACAAATTTTGTCTTTCGGTAGAAATACATTACAAATATCTTCTTTTTGAAACTAAGAAATCTCTTAATATTTGGTGACTCCTATTTTGGAGGAAAAAAATGTATTTTTATTACAATATTTTCTCCATGTTTATTCTTATTCTGGTACAGAGTAATTTTTTTCCAAAAAATTATAGCAACACTGTACATAAGACATATACTCCGTATACAACTTAAATTGGATCTACTCATATTTTGATTAAAATTGCCATGTCATTCAATCGTTAATAGGTGGCCGGTGATCTGTTAAAATGTTGCCATGTAGATTCGTCACTTCTCGCAATTCTAGGAGATTAACTCTCAAATTTAATATGTAAAGATTCAGAAATATTTACCAAACTTTTAATTTCATATTTTCCACATCAAAATCTATGTGACATATTAGGTGTTAAAAAGAGGCTCATGAGTAAGCCACATGTCAGTTCTTAATTACCCGAGTCTCATTTTTATATATTTAGGATTAGGAAAAGATAAAAAAGTTACATATTTTTCCTAATTTTTTTATGTTCATTATATTTATATATTTGGCTAATTTAAACATATTCTGTTTGTATGAGAATAATATTAAATATAAACTAATCATTATTAAAATTGTACATTTTTCCTAAAAAAAT